TTTAAACATCTATGTATGTAAGCTAAATCCAGTTAAAATCTTTGCTAAATCAGTAAGAAATTTGCAAATGCTCGTAACTGCGCCATCTAGTAGCGGATAATCGAACCGATGGTGTTTTCCCTTCTTCACTGTCTCATTACATAGAAAACACGAAGAGTAGGTCAACAGTGGATATAAAAATGCTTTATCATTGTATGGGCGCATTTACCATTAATGGAAACGCGGTGTATGTTCGGTGATGAGCTACGAAACAGTATGTATAATTCGTTTGGATTTTTGTGGATGCCCTTTACATATAAACTTTAATTTCATTAGGAATGACTAGTATGCCATTTTTATCTACACAGGCATATAATGTTAACAGTCGTGCATTGAAAAAGAAGAGAGAAAAGAAAGTAAAGAACGAGATGCAAGCCCATTCATCAGAATGACCAGGTTTTTTTTTTGAAGTATCAGATATATAGCACATGTGTTGGGGGTCGGTTCCGCCGTTGGAACCAGCTAGTAGCTGCTTGAGGTGAAACAAGCAAGCATCTATGCTCTCGCTCAGCATTTGCGTCTCCTCATAGAAACGGCAAGACTTGAAATAATACTGAAAATTGAGATCACATTTTAGCACAAAATAGAGCATCCAGAATTACCGAAGCGAATCATACATTTTGCATCTCAACAAAGCGTCACTGCGGTTTTGAGTTCAGTTAATGTTCCATAATTAAGAATATAATGTAGCATGTATGGTTCTGGCAAAAAGAAGAAACCAACACATGTGGCAAGTACGAAAAGCATTTACAAGGCCTCGTCGATTTCGTAGATTTTCATTAGATTTGCCTGCTATACGTATACGTTTAAGAGAAATATTTAGCTTTTTTATATTTCAAGAAAAGTGCAGTCATGGGTGTTGCCATTTCGATAAAGAGGATCTCAGTAATTCGAATTTGGAAAAAGTCCTACTGCAAAGTCAACGATAACTAATGTCACACGTCTTGTCACTTATTTGAGGTGATTGAAAGATCAAATGGCATACATACTTTCCAGAAATAGATAATAAACACTGGTTATTTATAAGCTCCCACACACTCTCTCTACCAACAACTTTGGATTTCGCCTCATTCACGAAAGATACTATTTAAGCTAGGTTTACATCGATGAGTTTGACAGATGTACAAAAGTGGTACCGACTTGTAATGTAATTGCGAAACTGTACCTATATCTATTAGTGATATACGACTATTATGGGAAACCGTGAAATGTCGTATTTGCATCTGAGAAGGATTTATTTATTCCAAAATTATCCTAGTTAGAAAGTAATTTTATTTTTTAATTACTTTTCTTTTGTCTTGCCCTCTTGCTCTCATGAGTCAGGCGCTCTCCATCTGGTCGGTAATTATACTCGATAATTGAGTAATAAAAGTACAGTGATTGTGTTTATGCATGATATAGTGACGAGCAATTGAGGGATTAATTATATCTCAGTTGTGATTGTTATCCAGTGTGTTATGGTTGTATATATGAATTCAACAAAATTTGAGTTGACTGATATGGTAGTTATAATATATCCTGCTGCGATTGTCTTTGGCCTCAACACTATGAACATCTCCCCTTTCAAAAAAGTAAAATAAAATAATATAAAATGTACAAATGAATAGATAGGCATATATTGCTGATAAGATCTATAGATGGAAAAATTATCTTTTGATGTTCAGTGTAAGCTTTTTTCTTATGAGCTTGGAATGCATTTTCTTTTCTATTCCACAAAATCCAAATAGTTTTTAATAATTGCTATCTATAAAAATAATTATGCCGTTTAATTTTTTTTCCAGCTTTATATAACAAGTTGCATGCTTTATGTGTAATCATTTGAAACTTATATGATTACATTAATTTTCCAGAACCCGCTTCCTGTAATCGAGGTCCCCACTAATGGAACTTATGAGTTTACTGAAGGACCTCTTCTTCGTAAGTTTCTGTCTCCGCGCACTCACACACATACATATGTGCGTTATGGTTACATACACACGCGCAGATATACATACGTACATGCGCGCACACACAAACATACATACATACGCACGCACCCACACTTACAAGCATAGGCACACTTATATACACCAAAACGCACCTACAAATTTGCCATGATAATGATAGCTTTATTTGTGGTTATTATTGTGAAAAATTTGATTTTTGTTATTAGTATATACGAAATACAATGGTTTTACATATAAGGTTGTGTTGAGAAATGTGAAATTGTCAGTAATGAAGGTGTCACTTTCACGCCATGCTATCTACACTCACACAAACAAACACACTCATCCTATAATCATACTCAAAATTAACACTATTTCACCCTCTCTCAGCTGGCCAGCGCATCGTAGGAGGCCATGAGGCAGATCCGTACAAGTACGGGTACCAGGCTTGTGTTACAGACAAAGCCAACTTCTACTGTGGGGGTTCTATCATCAAAGATAATATAGTCCTGACAGCTGCCCACTGCATGCTGTGAGTAATGATAGTGATGATGTTGACAAAAATGATAATAATGGGAATGCATATAATGGTAATGATAATTATATTGTAAATAACACTCATAGTAATGATAATATTAGAATTAACAGCATCAATGGTGATAAGAATAATATTGAAAATAAAAGTAATAATATAATAACGATAATAGAACCAGTATGCTGGCAAAATGTCAGTCCTGTTTCTGTATGTTACAAATTATACATTTTCTTCTACTCTTCCTTCTTCGCCATAATCATATGTTGTCCTTTTCGTTTCATTATTTTTTTTTTTCTTTTTTTCTTAACAGGAGGAACAGATTACTTGTAATTGTGGGCCAGCACAATTTACGAGAGTTTTCGAGTTTTCGCCAGGAGATTCGCGTTCTGAAGTCATACCTCCATCCGCATTTTGCAAAAAAAGGTGTCGGCATATTCGCTGACATTGTTATTCTGAAACTGGAAAAGAAGATAAAATTTAATGGTACGTTGTATTTTTTCTGTTCACGTTTAAGGGTGAAATGCGCTTGTTTGTGTGTGTATTTGCATATGTAAGCATATGTTATATATTTACACATTTGTCTAACACGTTTTCGTAAAAGTTAATACAGTATATATATAGTATATATATTATATATATATATATATATATATATATATATATATATATATATATATATATATATATATATACATATATATATGTATATGCATTAAGAAAATTTGCTTTTCATTTTCCTTCTCAGATAAAGTTTTCCCTATCCAATTGCCGGATCTTAACGTGGAAACGAATATGCCTGTGGTGGTCACTGGTTGGGGGAGAACTAGTAAGTAATATAGCCAGTTGAAAAGATACAAAATAATAAATAAAATAAAATTTTTCTCTAACTCAAATGAAGATTTTTAGATGTACACCTTTTATTTTGTTTAAATCTGACTTTTTTGCTTTTTTATTTAGAAACTGAATTACATCGTTTTTCTTCTTAATATCCACATTCGTCTCACGATTACCTGAATTGCAGAGTCGATTGAAAACCCAAAAGCTGGTCCCCAAGTGATGAGTCCACTTACTGCCTTATTACGAATGCCTGAAGCACTACGGCTATGCTGACGTGTTCTGCGCAATAGCTCTCGTCAAGACGTACCGCCTGCAGCGTGAGTTTCTCTCTAGTTTGCAGAATCTTTGGAATAACTCTGTCTTCTGTTAATTCCCTGCCCTTCTTTCTATCTTCCTCTCACGTTCTCTGTCTCTCTCTTCATTACTCTTCCTCTTGCCCTCGCCTTTTTCTCTCATTCTCCCATTTTATCTACAAATGGCCATTTTGGTAAAATAAAACAATTTAAGTATTACGCATAATGAAAAGTTACTTGTTTCCAGAAGACTGAATTAATACCTAACATCAGCATTGAAGATTATCTTTGTCTCTCTCTTCGCTCCCCTCACTCCCTATCTATCTATCCTTTTCCCTCATTCCCTGTTTGTTCCTTTCTTCATCCCTCCTCTCTGCCTTTCCCTATCCATCTGTCTATTTCCCTCCTTTTCGGTCTGTTCCTTCCTCTCTCTCCTCCTATTCATCTATTTCTTTCCCGTCCTTTCTCATTGAACATCACTTCCATTCATCGCTATCCTTTCCAGGGCGACTCAGGGGTCCAGCGATGAACGATGACATTCTCATTGGCGTCGTGTCCTTCGGCGTAAAGGATTGTCCACCGCGTTACTCTCAAGCATTTATTAATCTTTATTATCATAGGGCATGGCTCAAGGAAACGATGCGAAAGGCTTTAGCGAATGAAATTTTTGATTTTCGGCCACCTACCAAGAAGCCTAGTGATACTACTACTACTACTACTACTACTACTAAGGGAAATGAGGCAATTGTTAACATGGAGGCCAAGACTAATGGGTGCGGTATTTTGGATCTGTCTTTAGTACATATTGTATTGGTTCAACTCTTTCTCTACTGGATATAGGAGTTTATTATTTTGTTCACTAATGTATCCTTTATTTGTTTATTGACTAAATGTATATAGATACATGTTTCTAAGGGATTGTGAGTTCTCTTTAAGTAGAGTGGAAATTGTTAATTTGCATGTTTTTATTTTATTTAAATATATAATGCAGTTAAGGTCATACAAGTTGAGTAAACTGAAGGTTTTTACTTCATCACTCAAAATAATATATTTTCTTTTACATTTATAAGAAATAGTTTTCTTGGCAGTTGCTACAAATATAATTGACAGAGAAAGGGAACTAATAATTTCAATAGTAACCCTAAATATATTTTTGGATGTGATTAACAAATATAATTTTTTTTAAACTATATCTTGCTTCACCAGTGTCTATTAATGAAATTCTTGGAAGCGGTTTTTCGTAGCGCAACAGCGCAGGTGTACACCACAGTGGCTGCATCTAGACTTAGACCTTGATTATTTGCCTTTTCTTGTGCACATCTTGCATCTGTATTCTTTATTGAGAAAATTCAGGAAATACTCCAGTATTACCAAAGTGCATGGGAACAGGCACACTATATGCTAATAGGTACACTATTGGCATATATAGGCAAACAATATAGACACTATATATATTACGATATTTAGTATTCTTCATTGAACTAACAAAATTCCCCGTATATGATCTCTAATTTGCAAATTGGGCAGTAAGTTCTCACCATTTTATTTATATTTATTTACTTATTTTCTTATTTTTATCTAAATTATTACTAAGTCAAGAATATCGAAGAATGTGTGCCAAGACTCTGAAGACGGTTTATTTGGTCATGTTAAATATTAGTAGGTGTGAAACCCAATAAGGATTATAATCATCGACATTGTCGCCATCAATACTATTATTACTTTATGATTATCATCATAATTATTAGTATCATTATCATTGCCGCTATTATTATTATTATCATCATTATTATCATTTTTGTTATTATTATAATTTTCATCATCGTTACAAATATTACTCTGAATAATATTATTACTATTCCCATTATAATTATGAGTTACCATTACTATCATCCTTTGTCGCAATCAGTACGGTTCAGTAATGAAATCATGAACAACTGTTCTACTACTAATGATGATGAAAATTATGCTAATGATAATGATAATAATATAATGCTACTACTACTAATGGTAGTAATAATGAGATGATCATGATAGTAATGATGATATTAAGAACAACATTGATAATAATCCAAAGATAATGATAGTATAATAGTGATACTACTACTACGACTGCTTATAATGATTATAACAATGCTTATAAAACAGTAACAATGAAAACTTATAAAACCTGATCATAAAGGTAAATAATAACACTGATGATAATAATGGTAATAACAAAAAGAAAAAGAATGGATATATAAATGGAAAAAAAATATATATGGAATAATAATAAATGAAAATAACAATGACGCTAATGATAATAATAATTATTAAAATGATGATGGTGATAAAGGTAAAGATGCTAACATTGATAATATATTGTTATTAATAAAAATATGAAGAAAATGATAATAACAATAATGATAATGATAATAATGATAATGATATTAACAATAGTGCTAATAATGACGGTATTGATATTCTTATTTCTACTGGTGGTAAGAATAAAAATCGTGCAGCTCTTTCAATTTGTCTTTGTTTATATATTTTGTCGCTTAACCCTTTTCTGCCGCCACTCAATCCTCTCTTGTCCTAAACCCTTCCCCTTGCCCGGTGGACTCCTTTCCCAAGATGCCTTCCCAACTTCAAAAGCATTCGGATCCCGTCGACTTTGCTGTTAAAACGGGCCTCCTACAGTGTATGCGTTATCCCCTGAGTGCCTACCACTATCGCCAGTGTTATTCCCTTTCCCTAGTTTATTCGTGGGGTTTAAATGAAACGGAGAACAAAAAAATATGCATAACTTTCTACAGGTAATATTTTTCGACTGTACTGAACCGGGTGTTCAAATTGCCAATGTATATTATGTATACGTTAAACTTTTCGTTACAATTTATTATGGTGGTCACTGTGTGAATTTCACATTTGTACTGGATTATAAGTTTCAACTCGTATACACGTTAGTTCGTTAGTGATACATACATACATATACATATATATATATATATATATATATATATATATATATATATATATATATGTGTGTGTGTGTGTGTGTGTGTGTGTGTGTGTGTGTGTGTGTGTGTGTGTGTGTATGTGTGTTTAGAGAGAGAGAGATGACAATATAATGCTGAGAATAAAATAATAGTACAACTGATGCAAAAAAGGTAATAATACATAGACAGGTAAATAATACCGCAATGAGTCGAATAACTGAGTCGAATAACAGGTAATGAATCAGGATAAACAGAAAATTAATACTGAAAGAAATACCAATAAAAATAAACAAATAAATAAAAGATAAAATAATCATAACAACAATAATAAAATAAATGAAAGGGAAACACTGACACCAGATTTCATGGACGGGACAAAGGTTTCTTTGTTGATTTAGAAAGCACTTTTTAACTGAAGGGAAGGAGAAAGCTCAACCATAAGGAATATTATGAAAATAAAAACCCTAACGATTCTGTATTCGAAAAGAATATCAATAGATAAAATCGATTGAAAATCTATCGATACATAATATATAGATGTAGATAGATAGATAGATAGATAGATAGATAAATATATATATACATATATATATATATACATATATACACACAAATATGTATATACACACACACACATATATATAATATATATATATATATATATATATATATATATATATATAGATATATCTACATATATATATATATATATATATGTATATATATATATATATATATATATATAACATATACTTATATATATAGGTAGCAGTTTATTCAATAAGCTTCAACCTGTAACAATGCAATTATCAATAAATGATAGAACAACGAATCCATATCAGTGCATAGCAAAATCAGGGCCACAAGGGTCGAAACCAGCTGCGAACAGTTGG